ATACTTCCTTATATGTGAAATACAGCCTTAAAGGATCTTAAGTTGTGTTAAATTGTAAGAGTCTAGCCATAAAATTTCCTGCAGCCAAAATGCAGAGCGATCTTATCAGTCTACCGGCAATTGACATTATGGTAAGAAGCTTGCAGGGTTTTTTAAAATTTCAGAAATACATGTTTTTTGTGTCTGAGGCAAAGCTTTAACATCTGTGATTATTGGTTATAGACCAACCTTTACACAACTACAAGGTTCAGATTTTAATATCAAGTACCGTGTCATTTCGGTAATAGTTCAATTCAGATCAATAAAAATATCAAGATTTTGCTCAACATTTTGATGAATGGCTTAAGCAATATAACTCATTAATGTAAAAATAAAAATATATTTGTTAATTAGCTAATGAAGAATTTTGAGAGAAGAGACTCCACACCACTATCAAATATCCACCATGTCTCATTTGTTTGGAACTAGACTTCTAAGGCTATTTTTATTCCCTGTGATTTACCACCAGTATCCTCTGGGTGATAGTTGAGGAAACAGATGCTGGGAATCTCTCTCAGCTCAGTTCCTGAGACTTCTGACTCAAGGCCGTGCCAGCTCCCTGCTTTGTACTCGCTCTTGCCGAGGGTGGTGGAGTGAAACGTAAATGACTGCCTGATTTCCAGTCTCTCACTGCCAGTTTCCTCAGAGTTTCCACTTACGCATTTGACTCCTTTACCAACTTCGTTTGAAGTTCCCATTCCAAAATCCTGAACGGCATGTTCCCAGGATACATTTAAATTTTTTTTAACTCATTCAGTGGGGATTTTCCAACTGAAATAAAAAATAAATTGAAAACTGGGCAGGGGGGTGTTCTTTTTTTTTCAGTTTTCTCTTCACTGTTGATTGGGATTAGTGATATCTGCAAAAGGAAGATGCAGGGGAAAAATAATTGTAAAATGTTCCCTTCCAAGCTCTAAGCACATTTTCTTTGGAGAACCATAAATCTGTTACTTACTGAGAAAGGGTTTGAAAGAAAATAGATCTGCATCTATTTGGAGATTATACTTAAACTGTTAATTAAAAAATTAACATTTATTAAATGTCCACAAAGTATAGAGCTTTATTCTTTCTTAGTGAATGTAGTAGGCTAATAAGAACATGGGGGTGGTAATCTAAGCAGTTTACCTTAGCAGTTTACCTAAGTAAATACCTTTTATAATGGATTTATAACAGAAGCACATTACAGATGGAGAATTCAGTTTCACAAGGCAGCGGTTTCTATTAAGTCTCTTATATGACGGAGAATTCACTGGCCAATCTATGTTTTTACAAAGCTTTTTTAAGAAGCTTACTTTATTTTAAACAATAGGATCTCTATTGGTGATTTTTACAATTTAATTTTACGTAAACCAATGGGATATCCTTATTAAGCACCACTGAATTACCTAAAGGTTTACTTATTAATCCTGTTTTTTAGTGTGGTTTAATGATAGCCTAGAATAATTGATTTAGGCTATTTTTACATTAGGAAAACTTAGGAATTTTTATTGTATTTCAGATAAAATGAGTTTAAATTGATGAATTAGATCTCACAACATAACTGCAACACCTGCTCTTGGTATACATCTATGTGAGACTGAGGCAACAAGTCAATTTACTAATTTAATGGAAATCTGTCTGTTCTTGGGTGTGGGGGGAAAGGTGTTGATTTACTAGCATATAGATCAAGCAGCCAACTAGAGACTAAATTATTGCTTTTCCATCATAAAGACACCTACCCGTACTCAAATTTGCACCATATGATTCTCTGTGGAAAACCTCACAGGTAGATTGGGGCTCAGTGCCTCCTCACTACCACCAAATAAATATTTTTACCAGCCACAAATATATATATATATATACACACACATGCACATACACATACATAGTGCCATATTAGTAACATTCTAACAGAAAATGAGGCCCTTTGAACAAGGAAAACTACTTTAATGAAAAAATTTGGTGAGACGCCCATAATGAGCAAAGAACCTTAAAGTGCAAGAGATTCTCCAGTGGAAAATCCTCATGAGCCACTACACAACAGGCAAAAAGTGAACATAAAAATTGACATTAAAAAGTCCATTCCCAACTTAGAGGGGTGGGATAGGGAGGGTGGGAGGGAGGCTCAAGAGGGAGGGGATATGGGGATATATATATGCATATGGCTGATTCACTTTGTTGTACAACAGAAATGAGCACAGTATTGTGAAGCAATTATACTCCAAATAAAATGTATAAAAATAAAATAAATAAAAAATCCATTCCCCAATATTTTGCACAGATATTAAAAGAAAACTACACAAACACACACACACACACACACACAAGGAAAGCGTACATGATGCTGAACTACTTTTGTAGCTGTAGCAAAAACTGATGTTTAACAGCAATACTCCTGGGCTCTATGTATGTACAAAACACCAAAATAACCAACTGATTCAGCCAGACATTTGAGCAAAGAAAGTCCATCAAACATGCTGGGTGATCTAAACAACTATACACCCAACCAGGCAAAGAGGTAAATTCATCATTTATGTATAAAGGAAAAAAGGGTCAGCAATATGTTTATGGTGAAACATACTAGACAAGGGAAAAAAAGTTTTTTAATGACTACCTCAGCCCTGGTATATGAATCACAAAACTAAAAAATCCCTCCAATATACACAAATACAGTTGCCTAATGTAAGAGTCTCAGCGCCAACAAGGGTAAGACATACTTTCATTTTAATGTACCCCTGATACCATCAAATGGCCTAATAAGCGTAATACTGAAGTCAGTTCTACAGCATCTCAAGGGTTAAGTTCTGTGTTGTGAATAATTTTGAAAAAGTATCCCGGTAAGAATCAGGCTTAGGCTAGTTCAGCAAGAAGAACTGTTCCATAATGAGGCTTGGCCTGGACCAGTCCCAGTAGAATTAATTTTGTGCAGTAGAACACCTAGATAAATTAGTTTTGCTTTAAATATTGAGTCCTAAAAGAGTTAAAAGAGGTAGAATATCAATCAATAATTTTTAGATTAACTACTTTGTATATGACAAAACAAAATTAACTTTGGCATTATAACCCCTTCTTCTGGCATTTCAGATGAACCCCAAGTTTAAAATAAATAATTGGAGATTTAAAAACCAACCAAACGTGTGCATTTGTTTCTTGGTACAGAATACTAACTCTCTGCCTAGTTTGTAAAAAGAAAAGCTTACTCATACATTTAGTAAAATTACAAATATGGTTATTATATTTAATTATTAAAATAATCACTTAAGAATTAAGATTCCTGAAAAAATATAGAAAGATTTCTATAGGGTTTTTTTTGTTGTTGTTGTTTTGCGGTACGCGGGCCTCTCATTGTTGTGGCCTCTCCCGTTGCGGAGCACAGGCTCCCAACGCGCAGGGTCAGCGGCCATGGCTCACGGGCCCAGCCGCTCTGCGGCATGTGGGATCTTCCCGGACCGCTGCACGAACCCTGTCCCCTGCATCGGCAGGCGCACTCTCAACCACTGCGCCACCAGGGAAGCCCTATAGGGCTTTTTTAATGGAACTACTGAAGCAGTTAAGCTTTAAAAATTAAGTGAAAAATATCTCAATTAACAATGCTAGAGTCTTAAATTTTTATTTTAATAGATTAATCCCTCCAAAGTCTACCTATTATTCCCCTTTTATAAAATTGATTTCTATGGAAACATATGTGTAGAATTAAAATCATGTCTACAAATGGCAACAAATTTAAACCAAAACTCCCTTGTGTTTCAATGGCTTTTTCTAGTTAAACAGCTACCAAAAAGGTAAGTACAAGATTCATTTCCCCGGGAGATGAAGTCAGGCTTTTAACCTGGCCAACTGCCCATATAAACAATCTTAAATGTTATTTGGTCATCATTTGGTAATTAAAATGGCAAATCACAACCATACTGAATTTACATCCATGTGCCAAAAAGTTATTTAGCAGATAACTAGAGATAGAGGAAATGTCTCTTTAATAGATTCTTTTAAGAATACATCTACAGGAAGCATCAGGTTTTCAAACAATCATAAAAAACAAGAAGCAGTTGAACAGTGTCACCCAGAGGTGAAAAGTATATTACTTCTAGAGATTTATATGGTTAACCATAATCTGCTTTTCAGCCATCATTTTTGTCACTTTCAGGTTTTTCACGAGTAATGTACCAGAAATCATTATTTTCCTAGTTGCATATTGAAATACCATATTTTAATGAATAAAAATAAATGTTTTATTTTAGAAAAAGTACTTTACTTCTGGGTTAAACTGTATATCAATTTTCCCCCTTCAAAACAATAAACAAACTGAACAACCAGGCAAAATACTTTCTAGAATTGAATATAATGCCCCTTGTCTACTTCTAGCCTACAAAAATTATTAACTAATACATTTTTAAGAGAAGGTTCTGTGACTACTACACAATTTCCATACACCCGAAATTATGTTTTTTCTAAAAATTATACTGAACTATTGTATACCCCTAAGGCAAAATTATAATCCTAGGGAGAGTTTTAAGAATACTTACTGAACCCTTCCATTGTTATGACAGAAGAGGATGGGAATGGGTATAAGAGTGCTGGGCAAGTACAAGAAAGGAAAATAATTCTGTTTTATTCCACAGGAAGTTGAAAAATAACAATATCTATTTTGACCAAAATTAAAAGGAGCCTGCCGATTTTTAATGAAAGAAGTTCCATACCATTGAACCTGCCAACTAGCAGCTGCATTAAGCACTTGGCTGCCACTGAATTCCTAAACTAAACTGCAGAAAAACACCTCCTCCTGGGTCTAATCAACTTCAGGGAGCTTCAAATAAACCTTAGTTTGTGGGGCCAGAGCAGGTCAAGTTTTTTAAGAGCCTCAGAATAGAGTCTTATGTTTGCTCTTGAGCTAAAAGGCACACCTGTACTTCGTAGAGAGCGTTTTCCGGGCCAGTTATGCTTAATCTATCAAGGATTTTCATCCGTTACTGGGTTTCCATTACCTTTTGTCAGACGTTTTCTCCAAGATCCCGCTGCTTCTTTTTAATCACCTAAGTAGCAACACTGATGTGATGTGACAAGCTCCAGAATAAGGCTCATCCTTTCTATTCTGCATCTTCAGCCTAATGATGAGAAATGGGCTTCCATAAACTTGAAAAAGGCAGGGAAATGTTGCCAAAGTCATTATCCACTACTTTGAATTGGAAAGAAGAGATCTGTCCCTTTTAGAATATTAATAAAGTATAAAATAATTTTACAAAGCCTTCAGCATTTCGTATGTGAAATAAATGAAACTGCCCAGTGCTATTTCAAAAGAAAAACAAAATAACCTCATTTCCTACTCTCTGAAATCTACATCAGAATATATCCTCGATTTTGCATATCAAGCAGAGTGTTCAACTGCCTGACAGAAATGAGAGGATTACTGCCTGCATGAAAGCTAATATTAAAATAATCTCTCCCATTTAGATACCTTCTTCTTGTCTCTTTTTCCCTTTCCCATAGATGGAAGTGTTGTTGCCTAAATCAATACTTTGGCATCAAGGAGTAGCTTCTAAATCGCCAGCATGCTATTTGCCCGTGAGCAGGCTGTGGACTACAGCTCATGCCTGTCTGCCTGCTTGTGGCTAAGTCTCAGAGGGCAAAATTGCAGGCTTTCTCATACTCAAAACCACACCATCGTTGACCATATTTGGTGATTCCATTACAGTAACAATTTGAAGGAGCACCAGGCTTAACAGCATTTTGGAGCAGACCTTAAGGAAGCTGCTACACATGGATCGTATTGACCTCTCCAGCCACTCTTAGACAATCCACAGCTGTTCCCAGATCTGCCGCCGGCGGAGGCAAGACACAGCGGCAGATCTGGGCGCCATCTAGTGGATTCTATTGATCTGGGGAGTCGTCAAGAGAATATGGAGGTTATATAAAATTTGGACAACAATTACTACAGCCAAACTATAAAATAAATTTTTCTTCAAACTACAATCGAAGCAGTAGGAAAGGAGGCATTTCTAAAGATAAAGGAAAAGAAGAATATAAACTCAAATGACTTACAGGAATTTCACAACTGGTTTTTCAATATGAATCTTAAGTCTTTGAAATGTCAAGTACTTCATTAATTATACACTTATTATGAAAAGGAAAATATGAAAAGTTTATTTTGCCAAAATATTACCATTTTCCTATAATCTGCCAAATTGGATACTGTACAGTTACATTTTACCTTAAGGGTTTATAGTTTAAGCCAATCCAAATAGAATTGAAACTTATTTTTCCTACTACCTAATATATAACATGAGTCCTAAAGATGCTGCTCATAAAATACTCCACCAAGTATTTCTCCCTTCTTCAGCCCAACATCACCTATTCCTAACACCTCAGAAAAGAGGTCTTACTGTTTCTCCTCTCTGTTCTTTGCACACAAATATTTTCTGGATGACAGAACTTCAACTTTCTCCTTGGCAAAGTTATGTCTACTACTCAGTTTAATATCAGATTCAAAATACAACTCCTGGAAAGCTGTACTCCTGACTGATCCACCATCACTTCCTACTTTATGTTTCCAAATGTATTTTATTTAGCGTTGCCACTTGTCTCTGATTTCCTAATGCTTATCTCCACAAATCGTTCTTTTGTGTGACCCACAACCTCTAGCACAGTAGAGGAGCCTATTAAATGTTGAATAATAGCTATGACATAAGTAGGTGACTATCTGTAAAGATCTGTTAATAAATCCTCTGGTTATTCTGCCCTTCTGGTAGGCTAAATGTATCAACAGTATCTAACATTCATTGAACTTTGCTAAAGTAGACACTATGGTAAGCAATTAATACATTTCTTATTGGATGCTCACAACAGCCCTATGAAATAAGTACTGCTACTGTCCTTATTTTATAGCTCAGGAAAGCTGAGTCTGAAAGGTTGAGAAATTCACCCAGTTGTTATAGGTAGTAAAAAGGGAGACCCAGAATCTGATCTCAGTCTGTCTCCAGAGCCTATATGCTGAACCACTCCACTATACTTTGCCTATTTTGTTATTTTGTTATTTGTCTATGTTATTAAATATATGATACACTGTGATCTTATTACTGGTTGTATTATATTTGGATGATTCATTTTGCAAAAATTAAGTAGTTATTTGATCCCATGCAAAATCAGTTATTTTAGATAGTTACTGAAAATTATTCAAGTTGTTCGTATTTTTTACCATGTTTGTTCTTCAAAGAATGAGCTTACTATAATTAAAAGATCTGTACAGAGGAAGGAAAAGAAATTACTTTGCTGATCAAAGGACTGATGTAGGAAAATATGCAAGCTGACTGCATTTAGCTAAGATTGCAACAATGAAGTGGAAGAGCTAGGGGAAATGGGAGATCTGGTAATAACTGTTTCTTTGTTTTTTCAGTTCACCTGACCTCTTTAAACATTTTAATTTAGAAATGCCCCTCAGTCCTCAAGCTTGGCCGCATGAGTAAGAAATCAGGAACCCCACAGGAACCACCTGTGGGGTTTCATTTCAAGGGAATTGGAAAGGGCTCCCAACCTCCTAAAATATTTTAAAATGTTTAAAAGTGCGTTCTTAGAGCTTCTTGCCTTCAATTTAATCAAGAAAAGGACAGCATTGGTCTTAATCGCTCAAAACTAGAAAGAACTCACATGTCCCTAAACAATAAAATGGATAAATAACATGGTAAATTCATACAATGAAATATTATTCAGCATTGAAAATTAATGCAGTAATACCACACACAACATGGATGAATCTCAAAGTATAATTTTGAGCAATGAAGCAAGACAGAAGAATACACATAACTCCATTTACCTAAAGTGCCAAAACAGTCCAAGCTAAACTATGTTGCTTAGGGATGTATAACTAAGATGAGAAAACTACAGAGAAACACAAGGAAATAATGCCACAAAAGTTGGGCTAGTGGTTGCCTCTGAGAGGAGGGGGAATGGGATAAGGAAGGAGACCAGGAAATTTCTGGAGGTCTGGCAATACTTCAAATTGTACACTCATGCTGTGTTCACTTTTCTGTTTGTATATTTCCTACAATGTAACATATTAAATGTAAAATTAAAATTACACTATTAAAGTGTAAAATGAGCACATCCAATGATCATTCCAAAAATGCATCAGGAAAGAGAACACGTTAAGCTTTATCTATTATTTGTACTTCTGTGAGAATAAGTTTATTAGTTCTATGACTGCAGGCAGATTTGGGAAGAAAGGAGAAAAGAGCAAGCATGAAGACAACTAAATTCTAGACAAATGCAGTGGTTGGAATGTGAGCTCTGGAATGAGACGTGAATTTGGCCTAGAGCCCTGCTACTTGCCAACTGTGGGCCTTGGGTTGGTGTATAAACCACTCAAATCCTCCATTCTCCACCTACAAAATGAAGACCATAGTTATATCACAGGGTCACTATGAAGCTTACACAATGTACTGCTTTCCAGTAATTGCCCAAGAAGTGTTTTTTTCTTTCCCTGAGATTGGAAGCAGAGGAAGAAATCACCACAGGGAATAGAAAAGGCGAAAATGCAGAGACTGCACTCACAGTATTTCCTTCCCACTCATCCCTGGTCACTCCTCAATCCCACTGGCTTCTTCCTGAACCATTCACCCAAAACTGCTCTAGCAAGTCACCAGGGACCTACCTTCTAGTTACTAAATCCAGTGAACAACTTTTCTCTACATCATTTGACACTGTTGACTGTTCCTTACTCCTTGATATTCTTCTCTTGGTTTGCTCTACCACTAACAGCTGTGGGAGACTCAGTAAGTCACTCAACCGCAAGTTTGTTTTCTCACCTATTAAATGAGGGTAAAAGTAACCCATGGCTTTCTTGTGCGACTAAATGAACTAACGTACCTAAAGCACTTAGCACATTGCCTAGCACAAATGAGTATGCAATAAATATTAGCTCTTACTATTAATGCACAATTAAGACAGTTACTCCACAGACTATAATTTATTATTCATTATAATGCTCTGTACTTTTCAGAACTAAGGGTCACCTAACCTTTAAGATTAAGACCTCAATAATGAGAGGAAGAGAGAGATTTTTTAAATATATAAATATACAGGGGGAAAAAGCTAAAGAATACACTTGTATACTTTAACAGTATAACTACCTTGCTTATTTTATAACTGAAAAATATCTGAACTAGAATAAATTAAGTGAAAATATAAGTAGATTCCAGTCAGCAAATGTTAGTATTTTCACAGTGGAATCCATCTTTTATTATTATTAAATAATAATATTAAATACTCATTAATCATATATGTCATTCACTGGTAAAATGTGCTTTCAGTAGATAACATGAAAAATCTGATACCACAAAACCTTTGCTATTCCTATTTTCTGTGCTTAATATTGCAATTCAAATTTTGTTAAATTTTAAATTATGGTTTTGGGCTTCCCTGGTGGTGCAGTGGTTAAGAATCCGCCTGCCAATGCAGGGGACACGGGTTCGAGCCCTGGTCCGGGAAGATCCCACATGCCCCAGAGCAACTAAGCCTGTGCGCCACAACTACTGAGCCTGTGCTCTGGAGCCCACCAGCCACAACTACCGAGCCCACGTGCCACAGCTACTGAAGCCCGCGCACCTAGAGCCTGTGCTCCGCGAAAAGAGAAGCCATTGCAATGAGAAGCCTGCGCACCACAACGAAGAGTAGTCCCCGCTCGGCACAACCAGAGAAAAGCCCACGCACAGTAACGAAAACCCAACACAACCAAAAAAAATAAAATTAAAATAGTTCTTAAAAATAAAATAAAATAAAATAAAATTATGGTTTTGAAGAATGCAGTAAGAACAGAAAAAAGGAAGTGAAAGAAAATAGAATTGATTAGATAGAATTGTATGAGGACACTTGTATGATCTTTGTAAATATGAGGACAAGATCTTAATTTATATTATAAATATATTTGTATTTTTAAATGTCATTAATCTAAAAGTAAAGGGTCTGTTTGTTTTAGCTACAAAACTTACTTTCCCTCTCTTAATTGCCCCCCACAAAAAAAAAGACACCAAACATAAACCACTTCATTCAAAAAGGAGACTCTCATGACAATAGGATTAATGTGACAACCATTTTCCACACTTTATTCTTCATGCCCAGAATGACATTGGTAAGATAAGACATTTTAAAAGTCAATAGCACTTATTTTGAAGTTTAAACTATCATGTTAAAAAAAAGTCATTTCCTTAAACAGGAAATGTATTAATAATGGCACAAAAGACAGTACAAGTCTCACTATAGAGTACAATGTTTCCCTTCAAAAAGAATATGATATCCTTATCCTCAAAGAGTAGTAACTCTTTAAGGAGTTGTTTAAAAAATAAATACAGGGGAAAAAATCTTGGCACCTTTCATCTCACATTTGCATATATTTTGCTGAGTTCTGATCATTTGATTTAACTGAAGATTTAAGTTGAGACTATCTGAAATTTAAAGTTGCATCAATATTCTCTAGTTCTCACCAATCAAACAAGTTCTACTTGCTTTATACCAACATGTCCCAAACCACCATATTTTTGCAGGTGATCCATTCTGTTAAGCATCATACCCCAGACATTACAGACTCCT